TCCACGCACAGGCTCTGGAGTCCAGGAGGACCTACGATCCGGTTCCCGAGCTACTCAATGAAGACTTTTCCGCGGAAGCTATCGCAGCCATGCTGGCTGCACAGACGGGGGGCGACGACAATTCCAAGTCTTCGAAGAGCAAATCAGGAAAGGACAAGAGTAAGGGGAAGGATAAGTCTTCATCGAAAAAGAAGAAGTAATTTTTCAATTCTACGTTGGGAGAGCTTGGATTCTCCCCTTCTCCTGCCCGTGTATAGAATCAGACGTGCAAGTAAATGGATACTTGCTGTTTGGAGAGCAACGGAAACAATGTTATTTCCTTCTCCCAAATACGTGTTCTCTTATAAGTGCACTTTGAGCTAGTAGAGGGAGGGGCAGGCAAAGATAAGGGGGACTGAAATAAGCATCTATGGCTTATTAGCCGTCACCAGCCAGTCATACCCAGACCCAAGTGATGCCCCACCCGAGCCTCGAACTCGCAACCTTTTTGATCACAGTCAAACGTCCTAACCATTGAGCCACGAGCTCGTTGGCTTGCCTGTTTAAGTCGGGGGATATTGACACTCGTTGATGATCGTTCACCTGGCCGCTACATCTGACTTGACCCCAACAGAGGTCCTGACAACCGTAACAGCTGGTAGTATAGGCAGATAGTATTACCGGCAAAGACAATGGAGACTGGAATGGCCATTTCTGGCTTATTAGGCGTCGTCAGTCAGTCATACCCAGAACCAAATCCTGCTCCGCCCGAGCCTGGAACTTGCGACCTTTTCGATCAGAGTCTAACGCTCTGGCCATCGAGGCACCATTTCGTTGTCTTGTCGAATATGGTCGAAAGATATTGACATTCGTTGATGAACGTTCACTGACCCGTTCATTGTCCCGCTCTGCCTTGGGTCTCATTTCTCGGGCCCTGTCAGCGGCCGTAGCGGCCAGTAGTTTAGGTAGATAGTATTGCCTGCAAAGACAGAGGGGACTAGAATGGCCCTTTCTGGCTTATTAGCCTTACACAGTTCGTTATGACCAACCTAAAGTGGTGCGCTGCCCCAGACTTGAATACGCAACTTGTTGATCAGAAGTCCAGCACTCTAACAACTAAACAAAGGACTCGTTTTTTGGCATTCTTTGATGAACGCTCATCGATCGCTACATCTGCCTAAACTACTAGTCAGTGTGCGCTTGCTGGCGGGGATTGAGAGTGATCCCCAAAGCGGGACCGGACGAGTAGGTTCCATTAGCGACCAGTGAACGTTCATAAACAAAGCTCTGAGTCTGTCACAGAGGGTGGACGCCTCCATCTAGGCTTACAAACACAGAATCAGTAGATATGGCGCAGGCCTGGTTCTTTAAAAGAAGAGAGGCCAGGGGAGGCGAGAGTGGTAGGAAGAGTTTATTCTGTACAGAAGGCAGGTAGTAGGAAATGGACTACCAGACGACGGCACAACCGCAAGCCAGGGGACGGCATCTGAAGTGATTCTGCTCGGCAGTCGTCACCTGAGGCCGTCTGTGAGTCGGCCTGTGACTGGCTGTTCTAAAGGCCGGAAGCAGCACATGAGCTAGTCACGACAAACGTTAAGAAGTGCACTTCGTGTGGAGC